AAAAAGCGATATTAAGGGCCTCAGAGAACAAAGATATGTTTGAAGAAAAATTTATACCATATGAAAACAGTAGAAAGCGTCTTCGTGATCATAACGCTGAGAGCGGACAACAATCACATAACGAAGGTTATGGGAAAGGAGTGGTTGGTGAAAACGAGGAGCATCCAAACAGTCTTTATATGAATAACGACGATTTTATGCCCGTTAGTGATGAGGAGAAGGAAAGGCTGGAAAGAGAAAGATTGGCGAATCTAAAAAGGGGAACTTACATTGATTTAATGCCAGATCTGAATAAGAACAAGGATAGACATTTTTTCGAGACAAAGATTATGTATAATGGAATTAAATTACCAATTAGAGTTCCGCTAACGGTGAATCCCGAAGAAGTTGGTGATGTGAGTTATTTACAGGGATTATTCTTATGAATGTTCACATCACACCTTTCTAATTAATTAAACAAACTCTCGTTTAAATAGTTTTCCATGATAAAATTAATCACGACTTTTTCACCATCTTCGCCCACACCGTTTAATCATGCATTTCATCCACACTTGGATTCTAGTGGAAATCAAACTCACCCAATAATTTTATTACTTAATGCGTTACTCACACAAAAACGAATTATATTTTTGGGCCAAGGGCATCCCTCCGGAGATGTAGCAAATTATGTTCTGTCAGCTTGTGCGATGGGCAGTGGGAGTGGAGGAGTGTTAAGAGGGTTTACTGAAAGAGCCTTTCCTTATACTAATTTAACCAATGTTGACGATTTACTTAAAGTGTAAGTATTAAACAAATATTTTACTTTAATTTTTACAAAAGGATCTGAATTTGAAATTTATTTGTTCCTATGTAAACAGACCAGGCTTCATTGCAGGCGTGACGAATAGGATTTTTGAAGATCATAGTTCATGGTGGGATGTTTTGTGCAACATAGATACGGGAAAGATTACTGTTAGCAAAGATATCGCAACACCATCATACGGGGCAAAGCCTGATGATAGGATAGAAGAGGGTACGAGATCTCCTTCATCAAGCAAATCCGAATCATGGGGTAGAGACAAATGGGACACTACTGATAATGAATTTATGGCCGAAGTGCGTAATTAAACCCTTTTTTTTTTTTTTCCTATGTGTTCCGTTTTTTGCCCAAGATTGATTATATACTTTTGAACCTAAGGTCATGCATGCAATTCAACATCATTATGGTGAGACAGTGATACGCGGTAAATTCCAAGAATATGTGCAAAGATTTGTACGGCTGACAGCACTTTACGAGATTGAAACTTTTGGATCGACAAAAGTTGGAATGATGCCAGAAAATACCAATCATCCGGGTGTCCTTGGCACAGGATTAGCTTTTCAGGACGAAAATTCAAAGTTAAGAGAAGTAGCTGCCAATGTCAATAGGATAGAAGGATGGAGGCAAACAATTTCGTACAAATATTATCAACAGGTATGTCGTTAACTTTTGAGGAAGAATTTTCACATTCCAGATTTTAAGATTTCTAATTACATATTTTAAATATCCTTTAGGATTTCCAAAATTACTTAAAGACAAGAAGCATAAAAGCCATAGATGTATATCACCAAGTAGCAAAACTAAAATCCTTGAAGAATATGCCTGAAGAAGAAGTGGAAACTCTATATAAAGCCCTTGTCACTAACATTGTTACTGACGAACAGATTATTGAAGTAATATTTCAGAAAAATTTGCGACTTATTTTTTACTTATGGCAATCAACTTATTCAATTACGCGATCATTATTTAGTTTTTGTCATATTTACCACAAAATCAAGGAGGTATATTCCCGATCGGTCTTGGTCTCTTCTACCCTTTGAAATCTGTTAGAAATTACACTCTTGAATTGCTCAACCGGATCAAAGAACATACC